GATCTTCCTCGAGGTTACTTCCTGAGTTAAGTTTACCCTTTATTCAGGTCCAGCGGTTCCCATCCGGTCTTTGAGTTAAGGAACCAAGCGGAGGGGTTCTTATGGGTCAGAAGCGCACAGGAACACTTTGATCACACTGTTTTCAGCCACAATATTATCACACTCTCATCCGTCTAGCCTTCAGCGTGAACGTAAATGGCTTTACAAATATTTTATCTTGAAAACTTTTTCCCACTGGAAAATTAATAATTACGGAAGCTTTACACCATCAGTTCAGCAGTCTTAAATGACAGTGACATGGATCTTCCTGCGGCTCGAGATTGTTATACTTACCTGCTTTAGTTTCTTTAGTAGTTACGCTTTTCTTAAATGGTACGTCGAAGGTTAGAGAAACTTCAATTGCGTTGCCTATTTTTCTTACATTATTATTTCCCTGTATTTTACAGATTTGTAGACCTGAATCACCTAACTGGAGCTAAGCAGGGTGGTGGTGGAGCTGGGCGGGGTGGTGGTGGTGGAAGTGGGCGGGGTGGTGGTAGTGGTGGAGGTGGGCGGGGTGGTAGTGGAGCTGGGCGGGGTGGTGGTGGTGGTGGGCGGGGTGGTGGTGGAGCTGGGCGGGGTGGTGGTGGTGGTGGGCGGGGTGGTGGTGGTGGAGGTGGGCGGGTGGTCACGTGGATGGATTGTTTACATACTGGGCTCTGCTCCCTAGTATCGACGTTTCTCCAATGCATCTATTATAGCCTCACGGAACAATGGCCTGTATTGTATTCTGCATTTCCAACCTGTAACAATTATAAATTTTAACTTTCATTTAACTTAATGTGGCTTTTCACTTGGTACTTACTGACTAGCAGAGGTATACTTCGCATATATATATTCTGAACTGTTAATGTGATGAATGAGATTTAAATATCATGAGTAATAATTGACTTATGTTCTGTAACATGACTTGAAAAGTCTTATGTTAAACTCAAGAAAGTTTGGAGTCCTTAGTCGATATCACCAACATGTTGTCTCCGTCGCTTCCATCCGAACTCTTAAGCTGAAATTATTCTTTCTAGAGCATAGATTTAATTAAAGTGAAGTAAGCAGCATTCCCATTCCACACATGCAGTCAGAGAGAGAGGCTGGAGATTGAGATATTGGGCGCGCAAGGAGGAGATATTCCCATTAGCGAGTATTGCTTCCTCTTGAGGGGCTGGAACACCCATTAGCGAGTATTGCTTCCAATTGAGGGGCTGGATCCTTAGTCGATGCCAGGTCTGGAATGATTATGGAATTCTGGAAGGGGCTTGGGATTAACTTGGATTATCTTGAGGAAGAGAGAGGTGAACTTAACCTCTATGTTTGTGTTGCACGAACTTATATTAATTACTGAGGAGTCTGGAATAGTTTGAACCGTCTTCAATTTTGGAAAAGTTTGCAATCTTGTAAGGAAAGTTTGTAATGTTAGTTTACTACTTCATAGCTTGGGCGGAATGGACTTGAATCCCTTTGTTGGCAAGGCATATAAATTAATAACTTTTTGAGGCATTTACAAAAAATTCAATCTTCTTTGTGCAATTTTAGATGTATTCTGATCCCTTTGGAATAGTGTCGCGGGAATGTTTGATTATCTGGCAAAGTAAATGCAAAATTTGCTTAAATGAGTAATTTGTAAAAAAATAAAGTCATTATGGACAAATTTGCTATGAAAATTTAAAATTTTTCACAAAATTTGCAATGAAATTTTGATCGTATATAACAAAAAATTTACACTGAGCTCTCAAATAATCTTTTGCAATTCTTTGATGGATAAAACGACCGAAAATACGTTACCACACGGGAGCAAATCCACAAATGGGAGCCGGTCGGCCGAGCGGACAGCACGCTGGACTTGTGATCCTGTGGTCCTGGGTTCGATCCCAGGCGCCGGCGAGAAACAATGGGCAAAAGTTTCTTTCACCCTATGCCCCTGTTACCTAGCAGTAAAATAGGGACCTGGGTGTTAGTCAGCTGTCACGGGCTGCTTCCTGGGGGTGGAGGCCTGGTCGAGGACCGGGCCGCGGGGACACTAAAGCCCCGAAATCATCTCAAGATAACCTCAAGACGGGGTAATGAAACTGGATATCAGCGGTGAAGTTCAAGATACAGTTGACCGTGAGATGATGAAGTGCCGATGGACAATTAAAGAATGGAATGACTGATCAGTAGAACATTGAAATTATTGTGTACAACGGCATGACTTTGAATAATGGAATAATCCTGAGCCATGAAGTAATGGAATGATAATGATCAGTGGAACAACTGAGTAACTGAGTGATATTGAGCAATGAACAAAACTCAACAATGGGTCTATGCGTAATACCAACAATAGAAAGAAAAGCCAGAACAAAATCTTACAAATTCATATAAAGTTTCACTCATATCCCGGCCAGATTTTGGTCCGCTCCTGACCACAAATTGGCCACATTTCAGCCTGATTTTGGTCTGCAGTGCGTCGTCTGTCTCCGCCAATCGCGATCATCACCGAAGTTGCTGCGGTGACAAGTGCTGCTTGGCCGGATACGTGACGTGGTTACCGGATAAAGTGGAAACTCTCCCTTGTAACCCGGCCACCATGGAGCCGTCTGTGGATCTCTAGCTGCCTGGAGAGAGAGAGAGAGAGAAGATTAAGCCACCCAAAAGGTGGCTTGGGCATGAATAGCCCATAAGTGGTGGCCCTTTTGAGCCATTTCCAGTATCAATAGATGATACTGGACTAGCAGTATGATCTGTGGAGGTGCGACTGCACCCTGCGTGACGGGAGATGTCTCCCTTGTTGCCTGGAGATATAAATATTATACTCCTGCTTATTTTATGTTTAGTATATTAAGCATTCCCATTGGCAACCGTGCTCGCACACATACTAGAAAAAGACAACATTATTCAGGATTTTATATTTATGGACACCGCCTACGTAAGACCAGTTTTAAAGAATATCGCTCCATCGTGAAGCTCCATATAAAAACACATAAGGAAAAACTAGAAAAGGTTCAGAAGTTAGCAACGAGACTCGTGCTAAAATTGCAAAGACAGGGGTATGAAGAAAGACTAAAGGAACTGGACCTGACGTCGCTAGAAAAGAGGCGAAATATACGAGACATGATTTGTATATAATACTAATTGAGACTGATATAGTTGAAATATAGGAAATGTTCACAATGAACACCAATAGAACAAAAGAGCACTAGAAATAGATGAGCCATAGAAATGTTCGAAAGTTTTATTTTTTGTGTAAAAGTAGTTGGGAAATGGAATGAACTGAAAGAACAGATTGTAGAAGTCAACCCTATACATTATTGTTAAAGTAGATGTGATAGAGGAATAGGCCAGGAGGCATTGCAATAGACAACCGGCAGGGTGTAAGAGTTCGTAGAGAGGCGGGGTTCAAGAGTTAAAGCTCGATCATGCAGGTACAAATTTATAAGCGCGCGCGTACACACACTCGTTAGAAAGAATTTTTTCAGTGTCAGAGTACAAATGGAATGCATTAGGAAGTGATGTGGTGGAGGCTGACTCCATACACAGCTTCAAGTGTAGATATGATAGAGCCCAGTAGACTCAGAACCTGTACACCAGTTGATTGACAGTTGAGAGGCGGGACCAAAGAGCCAGAGCTCAACCCCCGCAAGCACAATTAGGTAAGTACACACACACACACACACACGCGCGCGCACTATAACTTGGCTTATTAGGCAAACCCAGACTTTGCACACTAGGCCAAATAGTGCGTTCCAACTATTAGAACAACATATATATATATATATATATATATATATATATATATATATATATATATATATATATATATATATATATATATATATATATATATATATATAATATATATATATGGCATGGTGGCTGGGAAAGACGTAAGATAAATTCAGCTGTACGACTTCAAATTCTGAAACTTTATCTCAATAAGTGTCTGTGACGCTGATTTAGGACGTCCCTTAGCTGGTTTTTATATGGCAGATGTGTGTGTGTTCATGAGTGTCTCTGGTGTGTGTGTGTGTTCATGAGTGTCTCTGGTGTGTGTGTGTTCATGAGTGTCTCTGGTGTGTGTGTGTTCATGAGTGTCTCTGGTGTGTGTGTGTTCATGAGTGTCTCTGGTGTGTGTGTGTTCATGAGTGTCTCTGGTGTGTGTGTGTTCATGAGTGTCTCTGGTGTGTGTGTGTTCATGAGTGTCTCTGGTGTGTGTGTGTTCATGAGTGTCTCTGGTGTGTGTGTGTTCATGAGTGTCTCTGGTGTGTGTGTGTTCATGAGTGTCTCTGGTGTGTGTGTGTTCATGAGTGTCTCTGGTGTGTGTGTGTTCATGAGTGTCTCTGGTGTGTGTGTGTTCATGAGTGTCTCTGGTGTGTGTGTGTTCATGAGTGTCTCTGGTGTGTGTGTGTTCATGAGTGTCTCTGGTGTGTGTGTGTGTTCATGAGTGTCTCTGGTGTGTGTGTGTGAATTCACCTAGTTGTGCTTACGGGAGTTGAAAGAGCAGAGCTCAACCCCCGTAAGCACTAGGTGCATACACACACACACACCAGAGATACTCATGAACACACACACACATCTGTCATAAAAACACGTAAGGGACGTCCTAAATCAGCGTCACAGACAGTTATTGAGATAAAGTTTCAGAATTTGAAGTCGTAGAGTTGAATTTATCTTCCGTCTTTCTCAGCCACCATGTCAATTGTATCTTTTGATTTTTGTCTGTGGTCATAATATTCCAATTAATAATATCTTTCAGGACACTTTCCTCCGTTTTATGTGCCGTCGAAAAGAAGTTCCTGTAAAACAGTCTAATAGGGGGTACAAGTGTTGTGTTAGTTGACTCTTCAGAGGTTGCATGGCGTTTCAGCTTTCTTTTAATGACGTCTTCAACATTACCATTAGAGATGCCATTGTTGACTAGGACCTGCCTACCATACAGATCAATGATGTAGGGTAAGGCAGCTCTTCATCGACCTGCCTTACCCTACAGA